GATCCGCAAGGTCCCTCTGGATCCTCGCAGCTTCCTCCGGACCCATCAAGGTGGCTCAGGACGCCAAACAATTCCTCTGGGTCCCGCAAGATGCACCGCTTGCCAGAAGGACAGCAACGGACCCATTATGGGTTCAAATTAGCGCCGTCTGCCAAAAGGGCAACAACGCACGCATTATGAATTCCAATTGAAAGCAAATAAATGATTCATGAATGTTGCTGGAAGCTGGGACTCGACAATTCCCCATTGAATTCCCATTCGAAAACCAATGACTTGTTGAAGAATTACGCTGGAGGCTGGGACGCGACAGTTTACCATTGAATTCTTATAGATAAACAAATTCATATTCATGTACATGTACATGTGCATGTACATGTACCTATGCATATACATATACATATACGGACACATGCACATATACAGTTACGTATATATGTACAAATACCTATACATATGCAGATACATATGCATATACATATACATATACGTATACACATACATATACATATGCATACATATAAACATATACATATACATATACATATACCTATACATATACATAAACATACACATATACATATGCATATATGCATATTTGTATTTATATACATATGTACATATATACATAAACATATACATATACACATGCATATACATGTACGTATACGTATGCATATACGTATGCATGTACATATACATGTACATATGCATATACATATACCTATACATATACAAATACATGTACATATACATTAAACATATACATATACATATGCATATACATATACATATACATATACATATACAAACATATATACATATACATTTACATCTACATACACATATACATGTACTCACACATACACATACACATACGAATACACCGACACGTACGCAAACCCATACGCATACGCATACACATACACATACACATACACACATACATACACATACATACATACATATACACCTACACATACACGTACACATACACACACGCATACACACACGCATACGCATACACATACACATACACATACACATACTCATACACATACACATACACATACACATACACATGCACACAACTGCGTGAGGCTGGGGTTCGACCATTGCCTTTTGAATTCCGATTCAAAACCCCGTACAGTATTAAGGAATTGTGCTGGAGACTGGGACTCTGCTATTTCCTATTGAATTCCAAACCAAAAACCAATGAATTATTCAAGAATTCTGCTGGAGGCCGGGACTCGCGCGTGTCCGATGGAATTCACACTTCGAAGCAATGAATTATGCAAGATGTTTGCTGGAGGCTGGGACCCGGCCATTCCCTATTGAATCTAAATTCACAAACCAATACATGATCAAGGAATTATGCTGGAGGCTTGGGCTCGGCAATATCCGATCGAAATCCCACTCAAAAACAAATAAAGTATGAAGAAATTCTGCAGGAGGCTGGGACTCGACCGTTTCCAATCGAATTCTTGTTTAAAAGAATAAAGGAATTCTGCTGGAGGTGGGAAATGCAAGATTTCCAATTGCAGTTCTTATAAGTAAACAAATACATTAGTAAGGAAGTCTGCTCGAGACTGGGACTCGGCGATTTCCAATTGAATTCGCACGCGAAAATGATAAAATGATAAAAGATGAAAGACTTATGCTGGAGGCTGGGACTCGGCGATTTCCAGGCGAATTCCGATTCGGAAAAAGTTTGCCAAAAACGAAACATCTGCTGGAGGCTGGGACTACTGATTCCGGGATTCGACCAGAGGCTGTGCCTGCCATTTCCTATGGAGTTCCTATTCAAAAACAATGGAAACATGATGGAATTATGCTGGAGGCTGGGACTCGACTATTGCCTGGTGAACTCCTGTGTGAAAACGAACAAATTACTAGGGACAATTATCGACGAATCATGTTGGAGACTGGGCCTCGACCATTTCCTGTTGAGTTCCTATTCGAAAAACACGAAATGTTGAAGGTATTCTGCTGGAGGCTGGGACTCGGCCATGGCCTGCTGAATGCCCATTCAAAAGCACATGAATTGTCAAGGAATTATGCTGGAGGCTGGGGCTCTACTATTTCCACGTGAATCCCCCTTCGAAAACCAATCCATTATTAAGGAATTCTGCTGGAGGCTGGGACTCGGCAGTTTTCGATTAAATTCCCATTCAAAACCCAAGACCTGATTAGATAATTCTGCTGGTGGCTGGGTTTCCTATTGAATTCCTATTCGAAAACCAATCAAGTATCAAGGAGTTCTGCTGGAGGCTGGGACTCTCGACCATAGAACGAAAACTTATTTAGGTAATCTGCTGGAGGCTGGGACTCGGCGATTTCCTGTTGAATTCCCATGCGAAAACATATAAATTCACTGGGAAGTCTGCTGGAGGCTGGGCCTCAACCATTTCCGATTCAATTCCCATTCAAAAACCAACACATGATTCCGGAATTCTGCTGGAGGCTGGGGCTCGGCCATTTCCGGTTGAAGTCCCATTCAAAAACCATAAATCAATAAGGATTCATGCTGGTGGCTGTGACTCGACAATTTCCTACTCAATTCCAATTCAAAAACCAACACAGGATTCCAGAATTATGCTGGAGGCTGGGGCTCGGCCATTTCCAGTTGAATTCCCATTCAAAAACCAATAAATCAATAAGGAATTATGCTGGAGGCTGGGGGGGATGGGGAGGAAGGGGGAGGTGGAGGAGGGGGACAAGAGGAGGAGGACGGGAGGAGTAGGATGATGAGGAGAACGACGACGAGGACGAGGGCGAGCATGGTTAGGAGCATGACGTAGGACACTGGGGAGGGGCCTCCTCCCTCATCCTCCTTGGCCTCCTCATCATCTTCCTACCTGCCTCCCTTCCATCCTCCCTCCCTCGTCCCTCCCCCCCTCCCCCCTTCTTCCGCTGCTTCATCCTCCTGACGATTTTCTCACTCCTCCCTTGTGGGAAGGGGGCAGGGACAACTCCTGCGTCGACGCAAACACCACAGACCAAGGGAGAAGGCGAAAACGAGATGCACCTGCGAACTCGCTCACATACACACACACACACACACACACACACTGGCGCCATGGCAGAACTGCAGGGGGGGGAATGGAAGGACGCGCTTGAGGGACGAAACGACGGGGAATGTGGGCGGGAGGGAAAAACGTAGAAGTGGACTGTGCGCCGACGTCCGACGTCGTGACAGAATCACGGCAGCACCTTCCCCCACCCCCTCTGCGGGGATCTCCTTCTGAGACCAGATCGATCTGGCGCGAGGACCCTGGGGGTTAAGCCAAAGCAAAGAATTATCGCGATGCGTCGGGCCGTTAAGTATTGCTGTTTCGGGGCTCGGGTCAGCGAGGTGAGTATCTGCGGCTCCAGCCCCTCGTGCTTCCGCTGCTGCCTTGTGCTGCTTGCCCTCTACCGTTCCCACGAGCCCGCCAAGCCATTCACCCCGCTCAAAGGGAACCCTGAACAGCCAGATAGCCAGATTCGAGACAGACCCCGCAGGCTCCCGACCCCCTCCCTGGGGGGGCCTGGGGGCTGGGACCTCCGTCGCGAACCGTCTCTTGACGGCCCTCTGGCCGGACAACGGCCTCCGGGCACCCGGCTTCCTCCCCCCGCCAAAAAAGGTCGGGGGGGTCGAAGTGCGGGGCAAGCGCCGTGGCTTTCTGAGGCCCTCGGCGCCGTCCTCCCTTGGAGGTCCCGCGCGTTGAGGTCCGGCCTGCCGGAGGAGAGCCCGCCTGGGAGAGAGGGGCGGGGGGACGGGCAAAGTTGGAGGAGGAGGAGGAGGGGGAGGATCGCACGCCACTAAGGGAGAAAGAAGCCCGACGGTTCAGCCAAACCCACAGAGAGGTCATATCGGAGAGGACCGACGAGGAGGAGGAGGAGGAGGAGGAGGAGGAGGAGGAGGAGGAGGAGGAAGGAGTGGAAGATGCGGAGAAGGCGGAGGGGGAGGAACAGGGGGAGGAGTGGGAGGAGAGGAAGGGCAGGGAGATATGGGGGAGGAAGGGGAGGGAAGGGCATGACATTGTGGATGGGCAGGGGAGAGAGGAAGGAGCAGGACACGGTGGGGCAATGAGAGGGTGCAGGGGCGAGGGAGGGAAGGCCACCATTGGGGCCCTCTGCCAGCTTGCGCAGAGCGGGCAAGTCCCCTCGCGTCGCCGCGTCGACGAGCCCGCGCGTATCCTCGGCTGCGACACAATACTCCCCTCCTCCTCCTCCTCCTCCTCCTCCTCCCTCCCTCCCTCACTCCTCCCTCCCTCCTCCCTCCCTCCCTCCTCCTCCCTCCTCCTCCTCCTCCTCCTCCTCATGCTCCTGCTCCTGCTCCTGCTCCTCCTCCTCCTCCTCCTCCTCCTCCTCCTCTTCCTCCTCCTCCTCGTCTTCTTAGTCTAATTATGATTATTGTAATATCAGCATGAGTCTCATTCCCAGTCATCCTGTGGTGTTGGGTCCTCGTTTTGAAGAAACGGTCCCCGCGTTCTCCTTCTCCTCTCCTCCTCTTCCCCCTCCTCCCTCCTCCCATCAGCATCATCATCATCATCATCATCATCATCATCATCATCATCATCATCATCATCATCATCGTCATCATCATCATCATCATCGTCATCATCATCATCATCATCATCATCATCATCATCATCATCGTCATCACCCACCATCATCGTCATCATCACCATCATCGTCACACCTCTCACACGTTTCGTGGCCCCATAGGGAGCTCCACCGAAGGCCCCAGTGCTGCCGCCCGCATGCGTCATCCACACCCAATTCGGCATACCCCTCACACGTTTCGTGGCCCCATAGGGAGCTCCACCGAAGGCCCCAGTGCTGCGTCGCCCGCATACCCCTCACACGTTTCGTGGCCCCATAGGGAGCTCCACCGAAGGCCCAGTGCTGCCGCCCGCATGCGTCAGCCACACCCAGTTCGGCACACCCCTCACACGTTTCGTGGCCCCATAGGGAGCTCCACCGAAGGCCCCAGTGCTGCCGCCCGCATGCGTCAGCCACACCCAATTCGGCACACCCCTCACACGTTTCGTGGCCCCATAGGGAGCTCCACCGAAGGCCCCAGTGCTGCCGCCCGCATGCGTCAGCCACACCCAATTCGGCACACCCCTCACACGTTTCGTTGGCCCCATAGGTAGCTCCACCGAAGGCCCCAGTGCCGCCGCCCGCATGCGTCAGCCACACCCAATTCGGCACACCCCTCACACGTTTCGTGGCCCCATAGGACTCCACCAAAGAACCAGTGCCCGCCGCCCGCATGCGTCATCCACACCCAATTTGACACACCAAAACCCCTCACACGGTTCGTGGCCCATATGGATCTCCACCGAGGCCCCAGTGCCGACGCCCGCATGCGTCAGCCACATCCCAATAGACCACCCCTCACACGCTTCGTGGCCCCATAGGGAGCTTCCACCGGAAGGCCCCAGTTGCGGCCGCCCGCATGAGTCAGCCACACCCCTGATTCGGCCAGTACCCCTCACACGTTTCGTGTCCCATAGGGAGCTCCACCGAAGGCCCCAGTGCTGCCGCCCGCATGCGTCCCGTACACCCATTTCGGCACACCCCCTCACACGTTTCATGGCCCCATAGGGAGCTCCACCGAAGGCCCCAGTGCTGCCGCCCGCATGCGTCAGCCACGCCCAATTCGGCACACCCCTCACACGCTTTCGTGGCCCCAAAGGGAGCTCCACCGAAGGCCGCAGTGCCGCCGCCCGCATGCGTCAGCCACATCCAATTCGGCACACCCCTCACACGTTTCGTGGCCCCAGCCCGCATGCGTCAGCCACACCCATTTCGGCACACCCCTCACACGCTTCGTGGCCCAATAGGGAGCTCCACCAAAGGCCCCAGTGCCGCCGCCCGCATGCGTCCCGCACACCCATTTCGGCACCTTCACCAAACACAACGCTTCGTGGCCCCACAGGGACCTCCACCGAAGGCCCCAGTGCCGCCGCCCGCATGCGTCACCCCCACCCCAGCACAGCATTTCGTGGCCCCACAGGGAGCTCCACCGCAGGCCCCAGTGGTGCCGCCCGCATGCGCCACCCCCACCCAGCACAGCGTTTCGTGGCCCCACAGGGAGCTCCACCAAAGGCCCCAGTGCCGCCGCCCGCATGCGTCACCCCCGCCCAGTACAGCGTTTCGTGGCCCCACAGGGACCTCCATCGAAGGCCCCAGTGGTGCCGCCCGCATGCGTCACCCCCACCCGGCACAGCGTTTCGTGGCCCCACAGGGAGCTCCACCGAAAGCGGCACCCGCAATGCGATATTCACAACTGCACATGGTTGGGTCCTTCGCCAGGATAAGTATTCTTGTTAATGGTTATTATTGTTATGAGTCTAAAGAGTAGGATTCTTATTCTTAGTATTATTATTCGTATTATTCAGAATATTAGTAGTATTCGGTGCATTCGTCTTCTTATTATTAGTTCATTATACTTAGAATATGTTATTATGATGTGTATTCTTTATTGTTTGTATTATGAGTCGTATTGTTCTTCTCCGTCCTCCTCCTCCTCTTCCTCCTCCTCCTCCTCCTCCTCCTCCTCCCTCCTCCTCCCCCTCCCCCTCTCCCCTCCTCCTCCTCCTCCTCCTCCTCCTCCTCCTCTCATGATCGTCACCATCATCATCATCATCATCATCATCATCATCATCATCATCATCATCATCATCATCATCATCATCATCATCATCAGCATCATCATCAGCAGCAGCAGCAGCAGAAGCATCATCAGCATCATCAGCATCATCATCAGCACCATCTGCATCATCATCATCATCATCATCATCAGCATCATCATCATCATCAGCAGCAGCATCATCACCATGATCAGTATCATCATGAGACGTCATCATCCTCATCATCATCAGCAGCAGCATCATCATAAGCATCGTCAGCATCGTAATCATCATCAACAGCATCATCATCAGCAGCATCATCATCAACATCAGCATCATCACCATCAGCATCATCAGCATCATCACCATCATTATCAGCATCATCAGCATCACCATCATCATCAGCATCATCATCATCAGCATCATCATCGTCGGGAGCAGTACCGCCATCATCACAGCGACAATCATCTTCCTCTCCCGCATGCACGAAACCGCGCGTAACTACCCTCGGCTGCGACCTGGCTTCACGGGCGACCCCGAAGGAGAGATCATGGCAAACGGGGACGCCCCAGCGGAGAGGGGCACTAGCAGAGGACCCTGGGTCGGGGAGGGCGGAAAAGGGCGAGGGATAGACAGACAAAAAGACAGACAGACAGACAGACAGACAGACAGATGGACGGACGGACGGACAGACAGGCAGACAGACAGACAGACTAACAGACAGACAGACAGACCAACAGACAGAGAGACGCACAGACAGACTCTCTGGGTCCAACGTTGCCCGTCAGCCGACAGACACAAAGACAGCCAGACAGACCGACAGACCGACCGACCGACAGACAGACAGACAGACTTGTCCTCCATTGGCTGGGTGACACCACCGCAGCGTGTACTAAGGCGAGGCGCGCTTAGTTGAACTACCACCTGGCGTTGCAGTTTTGGGGCCAGGACGCGGCTGACGCATGCAAGAGAAAACACAAAAGCGAACGCACTTGGAAAGGGTCAAGGAGGCAGGCGTCGAGGTGAGCGGAGCCACACGCACAGATGGAGGAAGGTGAAATTTGCCCGAGCCTCGCCCGCCGCAGCCCAGGTAACGGCGCCAAGCGGGCGGCCAGAGCAGAATAGCGCAGGGGCCACAAAGAAGATGCCACGGCCAGGAGCCCAGCTGTAAGGGCGACTGGCCCGAGTCAAGCGCAGAGAGGCGCAGGCAGGACGCGACCTCACGCAGCCCGCTGGCAGGCTGGCAGGCACGACGCAGCACCCGTGCGCCCGCCGCCGCCAAGACAGAGCGTGACACTGGGCGCCTGGCAGCGCAGCTGTGCGGGCGACACCGCCCGTGAAGAGGCACAGGCCTGAGGCGACGGCGCAGGGCGGAGCGTCGGCGCCCTGGCCAAGCGGAGTGCCAGCCGTGGGCCCGAGAGGACCTGCGAGCCGCGGCGCGGTGGGCGTGGCCCGCAGCCGGCCCCCGGGGCGCACGCTGGGCCGCCGGGGCACAGACGCACCACACACGCACGCAGACGGGCGGACGGACGGGCGGACAGAGAGGTAAGCAGCGGGGGGAGAGGGGGGCAGAGGTGGCAACGTGCGGAGGAAAGGAGGAAGGATTTTACAGGGACGGACGGACGGACGGACAGACAGACAGACAGACAGACACACACACACACACACACACGGACGGGGGGACGGACGGACGGGCAGACAGGACGGATGCACAGACAGGACGGGCGGACGGACAGACGGGTGGACGGACAGGAAAAGAGGCCCACCTCCTCCGCCGGCGAAGCGAGACAGCACCGCGGCGAGGACAGAAAAGCAGAGCGCGCTCGTGCGAGCTGCACCCGGCCATTGCGGATGAGGAGAGGCAGCCGAAAGCGGGCGGGGGGGGCCCGACCCTGGCAAGCCCGCAAGACGGACTGCCTCAAGCCCGCAGGATGGAACCCCGTCCCTGGTATGGCAGAGGAGCACTGCTTGCCGTAGACACACACAGGCACACACACACACACATACACACATATACACACACACACACGCACATACACACACACACGGACAGACAGACGGACAGACTGACAGACGTACTGACTGAGGGGCACGGACAGATACACAGAGAAAGAGTGAGGGGGAGGGGCACGGGCAGGGAGAGAGAGAGAGAGAAAGAGAGAGAGACAGGGGGCGAAGAGAGAGGAAGAGAGACGGACAGCGAGAGAGACAGCGAGACAGATACAGAGAAAGAGAAAGAGAGAGGGACAAGAGGTGGCAGTAGGGGAGAAAAGGAAGGATCGAAGGGAACGGGGAAAGAAAAGTAGAGGAGACGAGACAGGGAGGATTCGAGGACGAGAAGGTGAAGAGGGAAAGATGAGGTGAAAGGGGATCCGATGCCATCCCTGACAGGAAGGCACATGCAGCTGTGGAGCTGGGAGGGTGTAGGTGTTTCGCTTCTGGAACTCAGGAAGCCGTGATTCTTCGCAACGTGAAACCCCCGACGTCTGGACCCCTTCCTGAAACAACATCTTTATCCTAAATCGTTGCTCCACGGTCCTGGGGAGCCCGGCAGCAGACCCGGGCTGCCAAAAACTACCGAAAAACCGTCGGCCGAGATTTCTTCATGACCATGTATATGTCTACAAGTGTGTATATATATATATGTGCGTATGGGATGGATGGGCAAGCTAGGCGCGCGCGCACCACATCTGATATCCGATCCTTCCCACCCATCCCTTCCCATGTCGATGTGTTTCTTGATCCGCCGACGCGTGCCATAGCGGACCTGAACATTCAAAAAGAGCCCCTCGTGTGATGCACAGTGGGAAAAGGGAACTGCGTACATTGGAGGAGGACGAGGAGGAGGAGGAGGAGGAGGAGGATAAGGTGACAGATGAGCAGGAGGATGAGCAGGAGGAGAAGAAAGAGGGAAATGAAGGAGGAGGACAAGGGCGAACAGCAGCAACAGGAGCTGGCGTGGAAGGGGCGGGAGAAGCAGGAGGACCAGGGAATGGCCGAGGAGGGGAAAGCAGCGGGGCGAAACCCATGAGGAAAGATTGGGATCCTGAAAAGAGGCCCGCGCTGGGGCGAGAATGTCCTTCTGAACGACGGGAGCAAAGCGCCGATCCTAAAATGAGGCCCACGCTGCAGCGGCCGCAGCTTTTCGAGGGGCCGAAAATGTGCGGAATGTAAAAAAAGGGGAGGAGGAGGAGGAGGAGGAGGAGGAGGAGGAGGAGGAGGAGGAGGAGGAGGAGGAGGAGGAGGAGAGGGAGGAGGAAGAGAAGGAGGAGGAGGGAGAGGGATGAGGAGGTGAATGAGGAGACAAGGAAAGAAGCTCGTCCTCATCCACCCCCCCCCTCGGCTGCCCCGCGCGGGATTTCGACTGGCCCGCGTCCGCGCCGCGCCCGAGGCCGGCTCCCAGCCTGGCGGTGGGGGGGGGAGAGGGGGGGCGAGCTCCTCCCCTGCCCCGGCCGACAGCGGGGGCGCCGTCGGAACGAGCAGGGGGGGCCCTTCCCCGAGGAAGGCGGGGGACTGAGGAGAGGAGGGGGGCAGAGGGGGCAGGCCAGGCGCTCTTGCGCCATCTCTGCCATCCTACGCCCCACCCCGCGCACCCACCCGTCCCTTCCCACTGCGCCAAGCTTCCTCTACGTGTCCGCCGACGGGGGGCAGGGCACAGGGGGGCGCCGAGAGCAGGGGCAAGAGGGGGAGGAGGGGAGGAGGACATGGGGGGGAGGAGGAGCACCCGCAAGATGATCGCATGGTGCTCTCCAGATGTGCACACGCGTTCCAGGACTGTGCGGCGAGGCGGCTGCCAGGACATGGCGCATCTCGGCAACGAGGTCCTGCGAGGGGAGTCCAAAGCGGGACGACGATGCACGTCTTGGCTTGCAGACGAAGTCCAGCGAGTGACTCAACGGCGATCAACTGAGGGACGAGCTTTTCGATGTCGTGGAGCCTGGCGAGGATGATGCCGAGGTCGTCGGCGCGGGCACTGATGAGGCCTCGGCCAATCGGCCGAAGTTCGCGGCTGATGGCGATGATGAGCGGGTCGAAGACGAGCGCCCAGGTCGTGCCGCTCAATGGGCAGCCCTGCGCGACGCCCGATGCTGCGACCAGCAAGGGGCGGTGCACTCCACCCGAGTCCAGGTAGGCGCGGGGCTAGTGGTAGCACGCCTTCAGCAGCTTCATCATGCTGCCGTGGATGTCCCAGCGCTCGATGACCTCACACATCCAGGAGTGGCCCAGGCTGGAAGTGGCCGCCGCGATGTCCATGCTGACAAAGAGGAGCATGTCGGCGTCGACCGTGGGAGAGAGACTGTGGCGACGGCGTCGTGGAGGAGGAGGAGGAGGAGGAGGAGGAGGAGGAGGCGGAGGAGGAGGAGGAGGAAGAGGAGGAGGAGGAGGAGGAGGAGGCGGGGGCAGGAGGGGAAGGGGCTGATCGCCCGAGGGCATGAGCGCTGCCCCGGCGCCCGCCCGCGGCGGGAACTGCCCTGCCTGCTGACTCCGAGGGAAGGCGCCCCCAGGACTTCCGACCCCTCCCCCCAGGGCCAGCCTTGCGTCCCAGATCCGCTTTTGATGGCCCTGGGGCCCGATGGCGGGCCCCAGAGGCCGAACTCGAGGGACACGCATCATAGCGCCGGAGACCTGGGAAGGCGGAGGGAAGCTGGCCTGAGGGCCCAGGGCTCGGGCGCCGTTTCGGACATGTGGACCCTCTCCCCAGGACCGACGTGTCGTCCCGAGTCGTTCAGGACAGTCCCAGGGCCCCGTGAGGGCCCGACTGAAGGTTACCAAAAACCTCTCGTCGCTACTTCTCAGCACGAGCGGAGGGGGAGGCAGGGAAGCTGAGCTGAGGAGCCGAGGGCCTGGAGAGGCCCAGCGACCCCTTGGCGGCGGAGAAGTCTGGGTGCGCGCTCGCGGCCGAGCTGGAGGCCCTGCCCTGCAGCGCGCCGCCGCCGGCGAACCCCTCGCGGGCCGCGGCCATCTCTCTCGGGGGAGACGGTGGCCCCGGGCCAGGTCATGAGGAACCCTCTCCTCCTCCTCCTCCTCCTCCTCCTCCTCCTCCTCCTCCTCCTCCTCCTCCTCTTCCTCCTCCTCCTCCTCCTCCTCCT